TTTTAAAACCAACCAGAGAACAAGTATTAAACTAGGATTTTCATAAGTACGCAATTTTTACAATAAGAAATCTTTTTAGCTTCAACATTCCGAGACAACTGCTTAAATCGCATCTAGCTTTTGTCAAGAATTTACCTTTGTTCAATCATCAAATGGATAGAGATTAATAGCTACGAAAAATGAAATGCCATTTGAATGCTTTTGTTGCAAAGAATTAGAAGGCAGATTTAGAAAATGTACATAATGGTAAGGGTTCTTTTTTCAAAACTGAGCTCAAACTTGATTGTTTTTAGGACATCTGTGCATACGACCTGAAGCAAAGGAATCATTCACAATCATCTGTGCTAAATATCTTCTCATATCAGTGACAAGAAGAGTGTATGATCCTCGATTTTTGTTGTAAAAGATCCTATGACATGCAATTTCAAGATATATGCGCAAGATCAAACATCAAATTAACTAAAACTAAATAAAACTTTCAAATTTCCAAGCAGAAGAAGGCATAAAGGCATTGATGTGTGCAAAAATAAATCCTTGTACAAATTCTATTTGAAATACGACAAGAGTTTAATTTTTTGAACAAATGTTCTAGTTGGATAGCTCTGCCAACGTTTCCAACTTGCTGCTAACTCGAGAAAGCTTCAGCATTTTTTGTTTGTTTAAGAGTGAATTTTTGGCTTCTTTTTATTTTTTTCAAAATTAGGAATTGGTTGAACTAACAGAGTGCACATTTTTCCAGTCTTCCCCCTCTTCTTAGACACTACCGAACCACAGCGAAAGAGCGCGGATCAGATCGCATTAGTACCAGATGTGATGAGCAAACATGGCGGCGTACGGTAGCTAAGATTAGGCTTATCTCCATGAGCGCTTCCTTTAACCCCTTGTGCCCAGCTGACGGAAGCGGTTCAAGCAGAGGAAATTTTCACTTTTGTGTTGATTTCACGTCGAGAATGTTCTCTGATTCTACGAGTTCGCAGTGTCATCGTCAACGATGCGGCAATTCAAAGCGGCCGGCAGGGGGGATTCGACACAGTTGAGTGCGAAGCGCCTTTTGTGGTGTTCTGCCACCTTCACATAGCATCACTCCCAAATCAGCATAATCCCCACTTTGTAAAGTGTCTACAGAGGTTGGTATAAGTCATGCACGTCCGGTTACCTGGTCGATTCGATGTTGATGACGGTGTGGAACTTTTTGTGGCATTTTGAAAGTCTTGCTGACACACGAAACGATTCCCTTCGAGAATGTACAACTGAAAATAGGAACAATCAATATAGTATAATTTTACCTTTGATATAGCAAGTGAATTCAACTTGTCATACCTTAGAAGATCTAAACAATTTTGCAATATAAAAAATTATCTTACGAGATGCATTATTCATTCATACCAACAAAGTTGTTTATTCTAAAGAGTGCACCAGCAAACAACAATAGCTCCTTAGAGCTACAGTCGTTAAACTTAAATAGATTGTATTATCTTTTTGGTACTGTTATAATCTATCATGAATCAAGACGTACTGATAATCCTAAGTAACAAAGAGAGAGATAATATGTCCGAAATAGAAGATCGAAGGCAACAGTAGAAGAATTTTGTCAATCAAATCCTTTAGCTTGATCATACATCATCATTAGACGAATAACTTTCCGAATCCAAGGAAATT